AATATCGTGCATCCCTATTAGGAACTATGTTTATCAAACGTTATACTGGGCAAGTAAAAATTGTTTCTGGGCAAATGAAATGTGAAAGTCACTTACCCAAAGACCAAGTGGTAAAAACCCTTAACGTCAACCTCTGTAAATTATTATATATAGATGTATTTTTGAAATGACATTTAATTCATTGTAAATGTATTTTTAATTATTTAATTGTGCATTATATGATTTTAATTGTATATTTAAATGTTTCAATCAATCTAACTAGAATTTACAAAAGGTGAAAATTTAAAAGGTTTATTTATTTATTCAGTTACTAAACAGGCTGGGTGAGCAGGCTGGAAATATTTTTGTGTTTTATGATTTTAGTATTAAACTGAGGTAGAGAAGCATTTCAAAATAAAAGTGTTTAAACTAAAGACAGTTGGGTTATTTTCTATGCTTGAAGCAAAGTGTTTCTTTATCTTTTACTTTGTTTAAAAGTTTTGTTCCCTCAAAATATATGTACTTAAAACCTTTTCTATGAGCACAAGAGTTGGTAGATTATCTTTCTTTAAAGGGAACAACATAAGCAGAGAGATCCATGGTTGGTATTTTTCAGCTTTCTCATTAATGACGTGTTTATTGTAGACATCAGAGGCTTTGTGTGAATAAAATGCGGGTGGATACAGTTCCTAACAGTCAACCTAACTTTCCTTCCTGCTCTTCCTGTCCCACAGGACATCTGTCTCCAGACTAACTTCCCAACCCATCCTGCCCCGACGCCCAGCCACAATGAATTCGTCGCCGCACAGCTCCCACCCCTCAGTCGACATCCTGGAGGAGCTCCAGTTGATCGCTGCACAGAACCTGGAAAAACTGGACATCAACAAATACTATGAGGTCATCCGTGAGCTGGGCAAGGGCACCTACGGGAAGGTGGATCTGGTCATCCACAGAATCCGAGGTAAAGACCAGAGCTGCAGCTCACAGAAAGCTAAATATTTTCAGCTTTTTCACTTTATGTTTTCCAACCAAGACCAAGTGAACTAAAAGCCTCCATTGCTGCCTCTCTTAACCTGAAAGAAAATAAAAGATTATACAGATTGCATCACATCTTGTTTAGAGGTTTGTTTAATAAAATTAATTTCAAAAAATTGATTTCAAAATGAAATACTGAATAATATGTGTAACATTTCCTTACCTCCAGAAATTTATTTACCCATGAAATGAAATATTCTGCAAGACTGAAGGTTTAGGTTTTACCATTCCATTCAAAATGAAGATTTGTTATTATTTTATTTATTAGAATTAAAGACTTTGGTTACAAGCCAATTATTTATTCTGATGGTTGAACATGAGCTACATCGGTGGTCTATGATTTAACAGTTTGGTATTTAGTCTGACTTTACCCAGCCTCATAATGTTAAAGGCCAAAATGGAGCCCATCTGCTCCGAACCTTTTACGATTCCTGTTAATGAAGCACGAAGGTGAAGCTTCCCTGTCAGTTTTTAATTGGCTTCAGCCTGTAATGGAGATGAAAATTGGTATTTTTCAAGTCACTAAAATGCTCACTTGACAGATGTATTAAAATAAGGAAGAACAAACCTGTGTGGTCTGCTGTCAAAGGAGCGCAGCTTTAATTATCCAACATCCAGAATCTATCAATTAAATCCAGTCAGTTTTGGTAAAAATGGGCTGACAGCCCTCATTTCTGACCTTAAATGAGTTGTTTCATTCACATTTGCTTTAGTCTTCCTTGTTTAAAAGAATCTTTAGCAACAGACTATTGCAGATTTGTAGGAAATTAAAGATACTTTTATTTAAAAAACAAAAAACCTGATTATCTAATCTTCATATGATAGGTGTAAATAAAAACACAACCACCAACATTATCAAGTTACAAAGCATTTGCATTTTATTTTGCAGACCCTTTCGGGAATTAAACCTTCACTCCTCATCTCTCGATTTTAATTTAAATCACCTTTGAAATTAACATTTGTGGAAAAATACTCCCAACAGAGTCCCACAACAAGCTTTTCCTGAATTAATTCCTCCTGATTTATGCTTTAGTAGCAACAGGCTCGCAAAAGGGCATAGAAATTAATTCAGCATTATTATGAAATATCACAGTAGAAGCTTTAATATATGTGAGAAAAGGTAATCAGTAAAACATTGAAATTATCATCTATGGTATCATAGTTACATAAATTATAAACATGATCGTACATCGCTAAAACATATGAAGGAAACATTGTTTTATTAAAACATAAAAGCATACATATATACTATATGTGACATAAAGTGTTGAATTGTTCTGACCCACATCTTAGCGGAACAGGTTTTAATTATTTTCCTGTATGAGTGGGGTGTCCGGACATCTGCTGAAAACTTTAAAGTTGTAGGGAAGTCATATTTAAATTTCAAATCATTCTGGCTTAAACATGTATATAAATGTTCTCTTTATCAGACAATATTGTCCCAAAAGTTAGAAAATTTCTATCTTAAAAAAAAAATCCTGTCTTAAAATCTGTTTAGTTTTTTTTCATTATTTTATGTAGGCCAGTTAGTTATACGTCAGCCTGTACACCTAAATTCATTTTTTCAAAATCATTTTTGTTTTAGTTCTAGTGCGCCTATTGGCTAAAAGTTATTAAATTCAATTTAATTCAGTTTATTTCTATAGCGCCAAATTCACAACACATCTCATCTAAGGCTCTTTCCAGTTCACCAGATCATACAGTCAGATTGATTCAAAGTTTTCTATCTAAGGAA